AAGAGCCTGAAGCAGCTGGAACACTAAATGTTTGTTGTAATAATCTGGGTATAAGGTAGTAATTTCTTAATTTGGGAGAAGCAGGATCACAGACCTCTTTTGAGAGTCTAATAAAAGCCATAGACTATGTCCCCCAAAGACCTGTACATACATACCAAATTTCACACATAAAATTTTGTAGAATTCAGTAGCCCTCTAAAACCCTTCCTACACTAATCTCAGATTAAGAATCCCTAAAATCAGAGATGATGATAGACTCCAGAATCCAATCTGTGTTTTCAAAACCTAGTCATCTGATAGTCAGTGACTAGACCTCTTTTTAGTTTTTTTGTCAATCTTTTCTCCATCCAACACTCTGATTAGATGTTCCCTCTCTGTTCATCTTGGACAACTGAAAAGGCAACACCATTTACAACTACCTTTGTCCTCTGCTCACTGGTTCTTCCTTCTCTTACATTTTTCCCTGGATTTCAGGGTCATTACTGGGCCATGTTGGGGTGGGAGTGGCCTGTTAAACTTACTTACACATCTTCCTTGTAAAACTGATTGTCAATCTTATTGTTCTTTTCCCAAAGAACAACTTATTTCTCAAAACCTAGGGGACTAGGCCTAAATCAAAGAAAAATACACCAAAGTTCAAAACTGATCATGAAGAATCATCTCACAGCCTGATACTGCAAAGATTAACCAGGGATAATCCACATTGGGAGAATTCTAGAATGTGGTAATTCATCCAAAATCCCAAGAAAACCATGACAGATTCTGTAATCAAGTTGCCTGGATACACAGAGAAACCCTCATTCCCTAATTCATGAGAGGGAGCATAATTAGAACAAATCTAAATGACACTGTACTCTGAACACAAACTTCGTTATATAAGAGAGGATCTTTAAGGGCCAAGGACCCCATAAGTATGACATGAAGGAAAAAAAACACAAACATAATTCACACTTAACTCACCAAAGAAATGCCTTGAAAGGACTGTGGTAACCAGTCTCCAAAGATGGCCCCAGTGAACCACATCTGATATTTATGCTCTTGTGTAGTCCTCTCACACATTGATTCTGGGTTGGTTTCCGACTTAGCTTATCCAACTGAAATGCAAAAGAAATAATGTTCTGGGACTTCTGTGCCTAGATATTAAGATTGGAAGTTTCTAATTTTGAGAGTTTGTAGAGGGTGTACATATTTTGGAGTCTGTACAAGCCCTTACATACCCATAGAAGGAGTATTTGACACACCGATCTGTACAGTAAAGAATTAGCTCCCCAAAGAAAGGTTTGGCCCTTTGACCTGGCTCCTCTGAGGTAACCTTGTAAGCCCTTGGAATGTCTTGATAGTAGTGAGTCACCTGTGAATCCTTCTAGTGAGTCATTGAACATGAGTGTGTTGAGGGACCTCCTGAATTCACACAAGCTTTCCCCAGTCCAAGTCTCATAAACAATTTCTAATATATCCAGGGCTGAGAAGACACAAGGAAGCTGAGTGAGTATGGGTAAAGCCATGCTTACTAATGTGGTCCCTGGCTTCCACTGTTTTAATAAAAATATAAGCCATTCTCTTTTCTTGATACTTCTTTTGGAACTCTTAATAGACAAATGTAAGAACTGCTTCACCTACTTTCCTCATTTTCTTCTCCTCTGAATTCTGAATAATTTCTTCTGGTTTACCTTTCAGATAGCTAAATCTCTCTTCAGTTATATCTATCTGCCATAAACCCACTTATTGAGTTTTTAATTTCAATGATTACTTGCTCCTGGTGTTGTTTAACTTGTTTCTATAGCTGTTGTATTTCCTGTAAAATGGGGGTTAGATCTAGAAAATTGATTAAATATCGATTACATTTTATACATTAATATTTTATATGTGGTTCTGCATACTTCCTTTTCTTTTACACCAAAAGATGCGTAATGGTTAGTTTGACTTACTTCTACAAATGCTAATATTAATTGGGGGTTCAAGTAGTATTAGTCTGCTCTCTTTATTATAAAGTTCCCCTCAATCTTTCACCCAATGGTTTTGTTAGTATTATTGATATTATTGTTATTCTTGTTAACATTATTCATTATTTTATTAATGGTTGCAAAAAAAATTATTTTCTAATTCTGTCATTCCTTATGCATCGATTATTTGGTCATTCTGACATGCTTGGTATCATATTTCAGGATACATTGATCTTTCCTTTTATTTAAACTATTGACTTGATCCCCTAGGAATCTCCAAAAGTGACCAATGAGGCTTTACTTTTAAATACCATTATGGGGCCGGCCGAGTGGCGCGATGGTTAAGAACTCGCTTGGGATGCCAGAGGGCCCCGGTTCGGATCCCACATATGAGGGCCAGTGACGCT